GCTAAACCAGACTGAATTATTGTGATAGCAAAAAGAAGGGAAAAGCATAATAGGTGCACACTAAGTTTATGCTGATCCTCCTTTTAGATGATGCATGGAGGGACCAAGACATAAGGAGAGAGGAAACTCTGAAAATACCTGTGAAATGGCATCTCAGTCAGAAACCAGGGAAAACAGAGAAGAATGAAAAAAAAAAAGCTTGCCTGAGTTGTTATGGCTATCAAATGGCTGGATGCTGGATAGGGTCGGTGTTGAAAATTGCTGAATGCAGGCCACTAACATGTTTGAACAGAGAAAATAGGGGTGAAACCAGAGCCTTGCTGAAATCAGGGACAATCTTGCCATTTGACGTATTGTGAATCATCAGTTGCCAAGCTTGACTCCAGTTGAATGTCATTACCACAGCTCCAGAGCATTCATCTCAGTTTTGGAATAGTCATCACATTTTGCTGTTTACAGCTTTGTCGATGATACATTAATAACCACTGGGGCTCTGACTGTATCTCACTGGCTCTGAAGCCAAAGTTGAGTCACACATAGGAGGGCTGCCTGCCTGACATAGCGCAGCTAACACCCCTAAAAACATTTCTTGGTGTGCAAGACTGCCAGGACCCAGTTTCACCCCCCTGCACAGGAGGTAGGATTAGTACGTTCAGTGCTGAAATGAAACGCTTCCCAGTCTACCAACAAAGGGCAGGCTTTGAATTCTCAGCTGAGGAAGCAGAAGGTTTACGTTAGGAGGATCAATTTGATGCAAGTTTATTTTAAACCAGCTTTTTTATTCCAAGTGGTATTTGGTGGTATATTAAAGCTGTCTGTTCCATAGGTTTACTGGAGCCAGCATTCCACATCTCTAGAAATTCACTGCAAACACTCTCTTGGTTTCCTCTATTTTAACATTTTCAATGTTTGTGACTGGTGAAAGAGCAGGTTTTTGGTTCCTGCAGAGATCTGAAACATGGACTTTCTTGTCAAATGGCAGAGATGCTATTTGGGCCAGGGCAGTTCCCAAACCATCTGTGAGCTGCTGTCTTGCTAGGGAGACTGGAGTCGTTTCTGGAATTTCCATCATAGGAAACAGATACTCTTGGGCTGCAGGCAGGTACCCAGCCATGCCAGGCAAGGGGAGGACGAGGCTTTGCTCTGATGTAGCATCCTGAGATGCAGCAGTTCCATACTGGGGAGGATGAGGGTGAGAAGAAGAGGACGAGAACTCTGTAGAGGTCACCAGAAAGCAGACTTCCCCCTTGCAGTTGTGAAATCAAGCATCATAGGGGCAAGTGGAACCTGCAGCTCACTCCCAAAGGCAGGCGGGCACAGCACAGGGATGCAGGGAGACCTATTCAGGAGAACTCAAGAGGTGACAGAAGAGAGGACATGAGGCTTCCAGGATTATGCTTAGATTTCAATGAGGCCCTATAGTGATTTGCATTACAAAGGATTTTATTAATTAGACAACTGATTTAAATGCAAGCAACTAATCCCTCTGCTATCAGCAAATGATCTTAACGTTCAGCTGTCGATGTGTTTTAGCATTTTTCCTTGCTGGAATATCTCTTTAATGTACATCTCAACACACCATTTGGATTTCTTATATATCTTCAGAAAAGTGCACAATACTGTAATAACCATGTCTTGCAAGGATATGCAGCAGGCTGCATCTTGCATTACATCAGTAACTTCTGTCTTCAGCTTAGTTTGGGCCTATTTTGTCAAGTACTACAAAACTTATAAAACAAGAATAAATCCTGGCCCTTGAGACCATTTCCAGAGACTATCAATAAAACAAACCAAAAAGCGTTGAACAACTTGCTTAAGTTCGTCAGTGGATCAGTGACACCATCAAGAGTATAAGAAGACACCTTGAGTCCAAGCCATTAGAACCTCTACCTATGTGTGAGAGTCCCTTGGTGTTTGTGATTCCAGCACACACCGTGGGTTGGTACTTGAGCTGAAACACACAGAGCTCCTGGCCAAGCCTAAAAGGCTTCATGTTCTGAGAGAGTAATGGGAGCAGTACAGCTCCCAGATGAGTACTTTTCCCGAAGACAATCATTAAGGGGCCAAAACTGGGGGGTTTGCCATTTGAGTAAATATATTATGTAAAATAAGCTCTTTAAAACAATAGCAACAAATGCTCTATGTTGCATGGAGCCAGTTTTCTATTGTCTTCTGTGACCTCTCATCTGAAGCATGGACTAAAGCTAGGCAAAGGTTGAAGTGTGTGTGGCACAGAGAGATGGGAATAAGAAATGGCAAGTGCCATTGTTCTCCTCTTTGCCTCCCTGTGAGCAGCATTTCACTCGGTTTTCCACTGTCAGAATAGATTAGATATCTAAATTCTACTATCAATGAGTGGTCTGGCTAATCACTCGGGTGCAGAAAATGTGTTTCACGGAGGAAAATGCCAGATTTGTGGAAGCCATTTGTGTAGCTTAACACAGTGATATAGTGCATGCTTGCAGAAAGTCAGATTTTGAAGACAGCATTTGAACAATACAAAACTAATTAAATCAACAAGAGGCCTGGGGACAAAGGATTCATTTTCCCATCAGCTGCCAGCACAGATGAAGGCTGGTGATCAGCTCTGCATGTGACACGTCTGCCCTGCCGCACTCAGAGCTGTCCTCAGGAAAGTCCTCTCCAGGGGAACAGCACTGAAACTTAATTGTTCCTCAAAGAGAAATGAAAACTTAAATGTGAATGATGGGGAAAAAAAAAAAAAAACAAACAGAAAAAGGTTATTGCAAAAGGAGGAGGAAAGGAATGAGATTCTATTTGAAATGGTTACCGCAGAGGATACTTGTGTTAGCTTTTGGCAGAACAAAAGGGCATTGCAAAGAAATTCAAAAAGGTGCTGGTATTCAAAACATTTTACAGTCAACTCTGAAATCATAATATGTGCACATAACCTTCAGAGGCTTGAGCAGAAGGATATGAAAATGTCCACTGTGTTTCTCTCCCAGAGACAAGCAGATCCTATCTTTCCTTATATAAGTAGAGAATAAAAGAAATGAATAGGGAGCATTGTTACCCCACGTGTGCTTCCTGTGGCATTTTACGCACAGCAGGGCAGGCTGGTGTCCCCAGGGCAACAACCAGCCCCACTGAGAAACTCTGTGTGGGGAGAGATGTCTCTCCTCTCCATCATAGCTACCGTCATTCATTGCTTGCTAGTTTAAAGCACGCGCAACCACCCTGCTCCCCCAAAACACCAAGGGGTGGGGCAGAAGGATGACACACTCTATTCCTGCCCACAGCTCTTGACAGAGGATGGAATTACTCTGGCAAAGTGTTGGGCACCCCAAGACGTGCTGAGTTTGGCTGATGCCAAGGCACTGGACCTGCATGGCCTACACCCCCCTGCCTGCAAATAGTCCCCACTAGGACCTATCACCACTGAATATCTGGACCTGGTCAACCAGCACTAACAGTCTAACTGATGAGGATATTTAAATCCTATTGACAAAATGGGCCTTGTATCAACTTTCCTTTGATACGGATGGGATAAGTTTGTGCAGTAGGACTTTGCAGTGGGGCAAAGTTAAACCTAGGTCAAATATTGAGCCAAGGGTGACAGGAACTCAATAGAGAGCGGGTGAAGACATTTTAGACCCAGTTTCCTAAGGCCACTCTGCTGCAGGATATGAGGACAATTAGCAACAGCAGCAAAACAGAGAGGGTTTGCCCAGAAGAAGGAAGCCAAGGTGAGCAGGGCTGCGTAAGAAATGTCACAGAGGCTCATTTCTGTAAACAATAAATTACAGACCATCACAACTCTGTGCTTTACATAATTTTTATTGTGTTTCAGAGAAAATTGCATACAGCCCATCAGGTTACTCTAGCAGCATGTAATATGTTTAGTATGTGGTCCAGTCTTGTTTTTTTTCCCAGCCATTCAGCATGATTCTTAGCAGGATTTTGTGCTGCAAAGGGTAACTAAAACTATCAGCGTTTTCTGAAACATCTGTTCCTATTAAGGTTGATGACATTTTTTTCTGGAAAATTCCTAACTATATTCTAAAATTATATATAAAAAAAAAATACTGTGTCCTTGTGGAAATTCAATAATATCTGTGTATCATTTCCTAACACGAGTATCTGAAAATGTTCCTCTTAGACAAAATGTACTGCCAGTGTCTGAGAATGTTTTCTTCAACCCAGAGCTTTTTGTTTTCATTGTTTCTGTTGTTATACATCACCATTTCAAGTTGTTTTGTGTTTTTTTTTTAAATGAATAAAAATGGAGTGTGTTTGAGTGAACAAATTGTTATTTTGAAAAGACCTCTGAATTTGCCAGAAGGGAAAAACTTCTAATGCTGCTGCAATTATTTTAATGACATACATTTAAAAAAAAAAAAAAGAATTCTGGTGAGTAAATATTAATCATCTAGCAGTGAGAAGGGTATTACTCAAGGACGTAAAGCAGACATTGTGGCAGCTCAAGATGCTTGTGCATCCACATACTTCATGCTACCTCTGTGCCACAACACACTGCTCCCAGCCTCATGCCCACAAGTGTCCTCTTGTTGCATGGTGGCTCTGGGAGCTAGCTTTGCTTCTAGATGAAAAATAAAGGGTAGAGTTACTTTCTTGACAAAGGAGATTGCCATGAGGGCATACGTGCTACAGCATGAGGCAGGAAGAAGCAGGGGTGCAGAAGGGCTATAGATTGGAGTGACACAAGACTTTCTCTTAAGCCATGGGCTTACTTTCTCCTTTTCTGCACTGTATTTCAGCCAGTGTTTTTTCTACAATGTCAGTGGAGTCATACTAGTCAGACTCATTTTCCACAGGTAGAACTCCACAGACATGCAAGTACTTGGGAAGTCCCTCTACCCAAAACTGCCTGCAATTTCCCCTGTATTTAAAAACAAGAACTTCAGTTCTGTACGACCTTCTTGCCTGTTACAACCCCAGGTTATCATTTGTACCATTATTTATAGTCAGACCTAACTTTAAAACTAGGAATTGGAAAAAGCCCTATAAAAATAGGATACAGGATCCATATCCAAGTCATTAAAAAACAAAAGGAATCAAAGCTTTCCTTGATTTTGGGTAGTCTGTAAATGTCTTGAGATAGTACCTGAAAGAGAACAAGCAAGAGAATGAAAGTGCGTACGAGCAAGAAAACTGCACAGTTTCGATACAGCACAGCTGAAATACCTTAAAACACCTCCAATCTACCTTGCTTTGCAACCTCTCTGTGTTACTCTGCAAAAGAACATTCCCAAGAGATTTACACTACTATTTAATTTGGGAATTCAGTGCACAGGAGCACGTCTATCCCAAAGCGCTGCAAGGAACCCTCAGGAGAAGATGTGTTTTCCAGGCTCAGTGACAGGATGTCTTAATATGGAAGGAGTAGTGACATAAGCAGAGCTACTTAAATGACCATCAGTCCCATTTAACAATTTTTCCAGCGCACTGCTGTACTTTCATCCAGTTGCAAACAGGCTAATATGCTTCTTGTACGTAGCATTAAATTTCAGTTTTCTTTTGGATTCCAGCCCTGTCCCCCCCTGGCATTTTGCAAAATGTGTTCCATGAGCAAGAGGCAGGAAACTGTTTAAGTTTTGATACCTGTGATGGTGGTAAGCACGGGGCCCAATGCAGCAAAGAGTGAAAAAGGCAAAGGTGAAGGCTGGTAGAGACCAGGTAGCGATGGCAAAACCAAACCATTCCACAATTTCTCCAAAGTAGTTGGCTCCAGAAACATAAGTGAACAGCCCTCCTGAAATGAAAGACAAAATATGCAATTTTTATATGTCATCTTATGCACATGGAATTTTTCTTTCCTTAAGGTCAGCAACTGAATACTCTACCTTTTTATTCAGAAACCATATGAGAAACTTAAAATGACTTCCCCGAAGCCAAGACAAACTACAAAGAAGGATACTGTACAAGAGTCAGAGGTTATTCTAACCAAGAAGTTATCGGCACCTTCACAATTGTTTATTTCCATTTGGAAATGGAAAGACTTAAGAAAGCCATTATTAGAATTACATGAACGTCATTTATTAACATCTCCACTACCTCTAGGGAATACAAAATCTGGATCTCAGTTCTGTATTTTAGCTAATCACAGCAAGAGGAAGGCAGGCGTTGAAGGTGAAAAACGGGGCAGAGGCAGTGATGGTTGAGGAGATATGAGCATCCAAAGCAAGCCAGCAGGAGTCAACACCAAAACTGGAGTGTCCTGGATCCCCATCCATGTTTCTCTACAGAAATGGGCGTTTCCAGGTTCATAGCTCTGACCTACATCCTGTCTTTCTCACTAAGACAAAAACATACCTTGAGGAATCTTGTAAGTTACTTCCCCAGGTTTTCTCAGCTGGCGCAGCAGGAGATCACTGTGAATGTTGATTCCCATTCCCAGAAGAAATAAGAGGAGGCCTTTGAAAGAGAAATGGGAAATGGATTAGAAAGACAGCTTCTGGTTTGCCCCATTATCCCTGCACAAGGAATACAAGAACGTGCAAGGTTTACCTTTGGAGAAGGCAGATACGAGGCCCAATGTGATGTGGGTGAATGCTTTTTCTCTAGTCAAAAGATGCATAGCTACTGAAAATGTTACAGATCCCCAGAAGTATGAGTGAATGATGATAATGTAAACATGTATCTCTGTGTCAGCTATGAGATTACCTATTCTGGAGAGCTTCAGTGTGATCACCATCTCTGCACATTAAGATGACTCCCCTGAGCAGACTGTTCTGTCTAGCTGAAAGTGTTCTGCTCAGCCTATGTGAGAAATAGCCAAATTTCTCACCTGGCCATTGTCATCAAACAGCATAGAATCATAGAACAGGTTGGGTTGGAGATCTTTCAGTCACAACTTCCAGGCATGGGCAGGGCTGCCGCTCACCAGCTCACGCTGCCCAGGGCCCCATCTAACCTGGCCTTCAGTGCCTCCAGGTATGGGCATCACAGCTTCTCTAGGCAGCAGTGCCAAGGCCTCACTGCCCTCTGAGTAAAAAATGTCTTCCTAACACCTAATATAAACCTCTCCTCTTTAAATTTAAATTGATTAATTTAATTTTAATTTAATTTGATGAAATTTTAATTTAAAACCCCCCTTGTCCTATCACTGTCAGATCAAGTAAAAGGCCTATGGGAAGCCTCTGTGCTCCTTCTTGGGTCCCACAAGTGGGTACATTAATGATCTAGAAAATCAGTCATTCAAGAGGGGCCAGGGGAAGCCTGAGCAGCAGCTATGTATTCGCAGTCCCCAGAGATATCAGGTAGCTAAGTATTGGATAGGCCATGTAGAGCTGGGAGAAGGAGGGGGCCAGGGATGGACAGCATCACAGAAAAAAAGCTGTGAAAATAGAAGCTCAGAGAACACAAACTTATCCAGCACATCATCAGTACAAGGAGATGAACCTACAACCCAGGGCTGCTCAGTCCACTAAAAGTCAGGCCATTTGGACAGAGCTGTGGGCATGAACATGGAGCAACCACTCACTTGCTGAAGGCTGCTGACAGTTTCTGGCCAGAAAGATTCATTGAGCAGATTCTGTTTAGCTGAGAAACTAGATTGAGGAACTCTGCAGGTGACATGCCCTACATTTCATGCCACATTAGACACTGAGAAAACCACATCTGACAGCGATTGGGAAGGCAGGAATCAAGTAGAGGTGGTATGTGCAAAGCGGCAGAGCAAAAAACAAAGGTCTTGTAAAACCTCAGCACTCCCGGTAGTAACAGAAAGTTGGGAAGAAGTTGTAGAAGATGAATACATTGTTTTAACTTGATGTCTTAAGGACCACCGCTACTGTTTTCCCATTAGTTCTTTGCTCTCATCACATGTATATATATATTTATTGTCAAAATAATGCAGTGTGTTCTTTGACGGCTGTAGAGCTGTTTCTACACAGTGTCCAGGGTTTTTAAGATGGGATGTTGTGAGAAAACTGAACTTTTATCCACTGCTTTTAATAGAGTATGGAATGTACCTTGGTTACTTTGTACTTGCTGTATGCAAAACATTTCTTCTTACCTCCCTGTTCAATTTTATTTCTGTGTCTGTATTTAAAAACCATCCTCTGCACAGCACCAACTGTGTAATGCACCTAGCTGCCCTTGCTCTGTTATTCTCTTCGGGCTTTTACAGGGTGAAATTCAGCTAGGCTATTAAATTACAGAACATAAGGGAACATTATTAACATACAACCAGACCATGCATGATCTGTAATCTGCCCATGTGCCCTAGAACAAGAAAAAAGAACCCTTTGTCTCTATAGCCCCATTTATGCTGGGGCTTTGCACTCTGTCAGTCAGAATGGCTGCATTGAGTGTACACCTCCCTGGTAGAGAGAAAAAGCCACAGATTACCCTTGCACAGGGCCACTGTTTGGTGGACATCTGGCTGAGCAATTGCACATTCCTGCTCAAGTGGCATTGAAAAGCAAGGTTGGTGAGATGAGACTGTGCTCCAATACCCTACTTCATAATCCTTCAGTGGTGGCTTCCTAGCAAGAATAAATGTCACTACACATTCAGTTGTTTTATCTGGGCCAGCAGGCAGCTTTCATGCAGATTTCCATCACAACTGATCTGACTCACATGTTCAGTGAAGATTAGGATGTAATTCAAAGCGGTGACAAATTGCTTGGAGATTAGATCTCGGGAATCCTGCAGCTGTAATTACCTGATGTAAATCGGATGTCGGTGCACCAATCGGTTGGGTATTCAGCACAGTAGATCAGGTAGTACCCCTGGAGGAAGCCATTATAGATACAGAATAGCGTGCCAAAGAAAAGCAATTGCAGCGGGAAAGGCCTGCCTCTAGTGAAGAAGGGGTAAATAAATGTCCTAAGGTAGATAAGAAAACAAAGTCAGCACATTTCACGATAACAGCGTATCTGTAATTTCTCTGCTGCAGGAAGAAAAACCTTAACAAAACACAAAATATGAAAAACTCAGTAAACGTTAAGAAATGGAAAACTGTAAGAAAGCAAGACCAACAACAAATGGGAATCAAGAGAAACACTGCCCATACCACATTTTTCTGGTCCTTTGAGATGGAACACAGGAAGCTGGAAATCTCACCCAGAATTGCTGTGGCTTCAAGAATGTCTCTCTGCCTTCCTTTTCCCTTGTTGGTAGCAGGAGGAACTTGAACCACAAACAGCACATTCATACTAAGATCTTGGCTGCCTTTTGCTACAGAGAGGGGCAGTGCCAACTGCAATACCCATTTCCCAGAAGAGCCACAAACACTGTGGAAGAGCTTCCGTATGGAGGAGATGTTCCTGACCCCACCACCAAGACTGCTCTCAGGGCTGGCCATGCTCCTTCACCAGTGCTTAATCACTGGTTCAGGCCTGTTACTCACAAAGGGAGACTTGGAGAAAATAAATTGTACAGAAGAGAGAAAAAACCACTGTGAAAGGAGTTTACACAGTGGATTTGAGTGAGATTCTTCATCAAAAACAGGTATGCATGTGAACCTTTCAATTTCTCTAGCTGAGGTGGTCAGAAGTTCCTGCCTTGGCTTCAACCATTCCTAGCATGAGGAGACATTTCTCAGCTCCGAGATTATGCTGTGGCAGTATAAAGGCTACAAGCCCCTTCAAAGATGGCTCACCCAGCAGTGCAAGGAAGAAAAAAAACCACACGGTCTATCTAACATGAACACCATGTGTGCAGGACAGAAGAAAGTTGCATGCGCAATCTCGGGGGATGTCAACTATTTATTTAATTAGTAGAGGGAACGAAATCCTGGCATCAGTGAAATTCTACCTCATAGCACTTCTGAAATTCCATGTCAGAATTTCATTGAAGAATCCACGTTGTGAAGCAGTTTTTCCAGGGAAATCTGCTTTAATAAATCTGGAGGTCAGACTCAGTTCTCTGTATCTGAACAGTGCCAGAAGATTCTGTTTTAATACAACACTCGTCAATTTGAATTACGAGCACACAGACTATTCCTGGTGGGTTTTGATAAAGCAACTGAAATAAAATGAAGGTGTTTGATAGGATTAGATAGTACACGGAAGAGTTTGCATCACTGCAGAGATTATTTTGCAATGTGCAAATCAGAAGAGGATCAGAGGCCACCACTTTAGAGGAGCAGATCAAAAATTGGCCTTCCAGATTTAGACCTATGACAAATTTGACCTTTTTCTTCCCGTGCAATATTGATGATTAATCCTTTTGTCCTTTATCATCTTTACTGGCCAAATGCACTGCATCTGACTAAACCATTGCCAGCTGTTTCCTTTAAAATGGATGAATAATAAATTATTCATCTTTTCTGTCATTTCTTATCCAGACTAGCACGTTTCAAAGAGAAAATGATATGTAATTGCATCAAATTTCTGCTTACATGGAGTATACCAGCTCCCTTGAAAACTGCAGAGTCTCTCACCCCAACTGAGAGAAAAACCACATGCAGAACATCCTACTTCCACGTTCCTCCAAAGATCTCTGGAGGAATTTTTAGTCACTACAGTTTAAGGAATAAGAAGGATATACACTGACAAGCTCATAGTCTAGCTGTATAAGACAATCGTAAACCTTTCGTGTCAGGTTCATTTCTGAGTATTCTATCTAAAGCAAAGTTCTCAATTTATAATCACTGAGCTACTTGTGGCCCATTTAGAAAATTCATCCAACTTGAAGCCTGTTCACAAGAACACCCTATTTTTGCAGTCTCTTAGGAGCAGGTTCAGGACTGAATGAAGGCTTCTTGTAGGAGCACTCATCTTTCCTGGGGAAGGGATGCAGGCACAAATCTGATTGAGAGATGGGAGGAGGAATGAGGAAACCCTGAGACAGACAGCATCATGTCTGAGTTTCGGGAGTCCTTGAGAAAAGGAGTGATGGAGAATGGGATGCCTGGGCAGCACTGACTGAGTAAAAGACAGCAGAAATGGGAAAGGATTCAGAGTGGTAAAATAAGAAGGGACCTGGAAGAGATTTCCATTCTGCATCACTGGAGCTGCTGAATTAAGAGCAGAGATTAAAGTTAAAAAAAATAACACTGAATATGAGAAAATAATCTGTTTGGGGGAGCTGAATAACTGTGTGCAAGTGTTCTCATGATACTGAAAGGAAGCAAGTTCAAATGTAATTAATAAACATACTTAATACAATACACAAACGACACTGGAAGAAGGGAGATAGCCACAGATTATAAATGAAGGCAAGTCCTTTAATAAAGAGGAGAAAAAGTCTAAGGCTTTGGAATACATATTCATTCTCATAATTCAGGGGATAAATCACACTCCAATTCAAAGAGGCAGAAGGCAGCATCTCCCTTGGATGGCTGACCACCATTTATTGCACTTTCTTTTGAAAGACTTTTGCCAAGGCAGGCACTGTGACGGACCTCTACTCTAACCCAGCAAGGTAACTTCAGGGCTTCATTGGGACTCACACCTCATCTAAGAGAAATAGACAAAGAGAACAAGTTCAAAAGGATGGAGTTAACTCCCCAGAATAGAAAAGTATTGAACACCAGCAAAGCTACGAGCAAAGCTCCAGAGTGAAAATATCCCAGGAAGGCTGACACCATGGATTGCAGTTAAAGAGGTTAAGCAACAGCACTCAACTTCCCAGCCACACAGCCTAATGCAGAGTTCAGGTTGAATTCTTGGTGCTGGATCAGAAAAGCTCAGCTGCTTACAACTGAATGAAGTGAGATTATAGCAAGAAATCTACAATAATTTGCAAAACCACATGTGTCTGATGTGAGTGCCTAAAAACAAAATGCTGCTCCTACATTGCTATCAATTACTGATGGAAAACAAAAAAGAAAAAAAGATCCCTTTGGCTGCAGAAAGATCTAAGGAATCTGGGCAACATAATGCCAAATTCCAGCACTACAAAAGCCTGAAGTCAGTCATTCTGGCAATCCATTACTAGCCAGATGCACACAGTTGTTACAAATTTTAGGTATGCTATATGGTTAGCATAGTGAGAAGGCTATATACAGCATAGGAATGAAAGCAAGTTCTTTTTGCATAGTTACATGCAGGAACTATTAGATGTGCTATACTTAATAAAATACATGCTATACTTAATAAAATACATATCGTTGAAAAAAAAAGAAAGCAAAAGAGCAGGACCTAATAATTTAAATAAGTTTTTAATTGGTGAGGAAGGACCAGGTCGTCTTGACTCCAATGAACAAATTTTTGCTGTTATAAATCCATTACAACAGCAACCAGGTTTCAAAAGCATTTTGAAAGCTGATATACAAATTATTTCCTTGCTTCTCTTGTCTTCCAGTATTTCTGAAGCCATCACTGGAAAAATCTGGTATCTTCCAGTGATTAAAAGCATCTTAGAACCAACAAAGGATATTTCTTCCTTTTCACAGTTCAAAAAAGGCACTGAATTTTGAAAAATGCTGAACCATTGTGGTCTTTCCTACTGGCTTTAGCAGCAAGTCCCACATTTCAATTACTACACATTTTCTAAAAGGAAGCCAAGAACAAAGTTCTTGGGCTTGGTGCACTAGCAGGCTGCACCAGCAAGTCACAGTCAGTCAGCAAGCTACAGCTAGCGTACAGTTAAGATAATATATTTGTTTCTCAAAGGTTTCCATTTTGAAGCACAAAATACTGTTTTCAAAATATTCTGCTCTTTAATAACTTATAATCAATGAGTATACAGATGATATTGCATATCCAGGAGTTTGGCTGATGTAATTATCATACTAGAGTAGGAAAAAAGGGCACTCACCCTATCCTGGGCTCACATGATAAACTCCAGTGGAGCAAATCTCCAGAAAAGATCCTTCCCTGCTGGCAGTCAGCTCTTCAATGGGTCTAGGAGAGGTGCAGCCAGGCTCCACCCCTTCCTGCAGTACAGGTGAATTGCCTTCACCTGTGCTCCCGTGGCTGAGCATTGCTTGCCTCAGGTGATCCATCAGAGGTTCAGGCCATGATTCAGCAGCCCCATACAATAACCAAAGGATACCACCAAAGGTGGAGCTAATAAAGCAAAGGAACTATTGCTTGAGTACAGATGACTCCTGGAATCAAGACTGGTCCAAATGGACATGTGGTTTGATCACAGAGACTACACAGCAAAGTACCAGAGTCTACAACCTATGACAAGATGAATATTTGTTTAAAAAGTCTAATGCTTTTGTTTGTAATAGCCTCCTTGCCTGGGAAAAATAAAATAATAATAAAAAATAGTCTTTTTTTAATATGTTTGTGGCTGGCACAATTCTGGGTGATACTGAGCACACCAAGAGTGAGAAATAGATTTAACAACAATCCTGAAATACTGGTTTTGTGTTTTTAGGAATCAGTTTAGTTCAGTGAAGACAATGGCAAAGAACAACTCTTGGGCAAGTCTGACAAAACATAAAAGATTAGCTGGAGAACTGGCTGGATGGAGGAAGGAGCGCTGGTAGGTAGCAAGCTTAGCATGACCTGGGAGTGTCAGGGTATGTCAAAAAGGCAAATGTTAAAATGTGATGTGAAAACTGAAGTGCTAATGGAGGCACCCAAATTTGTTTCTCTTTGCATGGAGCTAGTAGGCACTTACATTGTATGCAGCTGAACCCTGCACTTCATAAGAGACACAGGCAAAGCCCAGAGAAAACAGCTGTGATCTGGGAAGTGTGACCCTTGTAGAAAGACTGGAGGCCTCAAGGTTGTTTAACGCGGCTAATAAAAAACCTGTGGAAGACATTATAGCAAAGTACAATTGTATAAAACTTTACTGCAAAGAAGGAAATACAAGCTGGAGGGTTTGAGGAACTTCCATCACTGTTTTTAAGGATGGGCTACACAAGCAGCCAGCAGGAACAATCCTTAGATTGATTGTCTTTCTTAATTCTCTGTAATCTG